CTTCAAGTGTTTCGGAGTTCAGAGACCTCGTATGGGAGACAATATTGGAGATGGAAGGAGGAGGAGTTTGAGTAAAGATCGGAGCTGTAATGGACTGTACCAAGGTGGGGGGGGGGGGCAAAAGGGTGGAGGGAACTGGAGAAGTGTGGGAGGGGAAAGAAGAGACATAAACCTGGGAGGTGGCAGAAGAGGAAGAAACTTGGGAGGGGACAGGGGAGGAAGGCACAGTACGAGGAGGAGGATGAACCTTCACACTTGTAACAGAGCCAGTGAAAGGGTAAGACCCAGGTACAGAGACCGGGAAGGTAAAATGTGGAGGTGGATGAAGGGAAGGAGGGGTTAAAGGAGATTTTTTGGACCTCTGAGAAGTAGAGGGGCGATTGGGAGGAGGTGTCGTACAAGGTCTTGTCGATACCGGGGTTTGTGAGGGAGGACACGAAGAAGTGAGGACAGACTGAGGAGTTGAAGTAGGGACGTCTGAGCCCAGGGCAGCAAAAGAATTAGATACAGGAGTAACTATGGGACTGGCAACCGCAGAGGAGGCTGCAGCAGATGTGACCCCATAAGTGGGGGGACGTTTTGAAACACGCTTTGAAACGCGAGAATAAGAAACACGGGGCAGTCTCCCTTGGAGGCAGAGATGAGAAACCACCATAGCATAAGGGAGACCTTCTGCCTCTTTGAGGCAACGAATTTCCCGCTCATTTAAGTAGATTTGGCAACGGCGAGAGTACGAAGGGTGAGCCTCATGACAATTAAGGCAAGAGGGAGTTCGACTGCAAGATGTATTAGAATGGTCATCGGCACCACAGACTGGGCATTCGGCTATAGATTTGCAATATTTTGCTGGGTGGCCAAATCGCCAGCAATTCCTACACTGTTGCGGTGTAGGGATCACCTTCCAAGCCAGCGATATTCCAGAAATGATAAATTATGTAGAACAGGACGATAATAAACTGCACGATTAGGGTCACAAGTGACATGGTCCTTCGGCAAATAGATAAATTAAATGCCTAACAAATCCCCAGGCCCTGATGAACTGTATGCAAGGGTTCTAAAGGAATGTAAAGAGGAACTTAGCAAACCTTTGGCTAATCTTTTCAACATATCACTACAAAGTGGCATGGTGCAGGTAAGTGGAAAATGGCAAATGTGATACCTATTTTCAAAGCAGGTGACAGGTCCTTAGCTTTGAACTATAAACCAATAAGCCTAATCTCCATAGTGGGAAAATTTATGGAATCAATAATTGCCGAGGCAGTTCGTAGCCACCTTGAAAAGCATAAATTAATCAACGAATCTCAGCATGGTTTTACAAAGGGGCGTTCCTGCCTTACGAATTTATTAACTTTTTTCACTAAGGTATTTGAGGAGGTAGATCATGGTAATGAATATGATATTGTGTATATGGACTTCAGTAAGGCTTTTGACAGGGTCCCACATCAGAGACTATTGAGGAAAATTAAGGCACATAGAATAGGAGGAGAAATTTTTTCCTGGATAGAGGCATGGTTGACAAATAGGCAGCAGAGAGTTTGCATAAATGGGGAGAAATCAGAGTGGGGAAGCATCACGAGCTGTGTTCCACAGGGGTCAGTGTTGGGCCCCCTGCTGTTCACAATCTACATAAACGACATAGATGAGGGCATAAAGAGCGACATCAGCAAGTTTGCCAATGACACCAAAATAGGCCGTCAAATTCATTCTGACGAAGACATTAGAGCACTCCAGGAAGATTTGAGTAGACTGATGCAGTGGTCAGAGAGGTGGCAGATGCAGTTTAATATAGACAAATGCAAAGTTCTAAATGTTGGACAGGACAATAACCATGCCACATATAAACTAAATAATGTAGATCTTAATATTACGAATTGCGAAAAAGATTTAGGAGTTCTGGTTAGCAGTAATCTGAAACCAAGACGACAGTGCATTAGTGTCCGCAATAAAGCTAACAGAATCCTTGGCTTCATATCTAGAAGTATAAATAATAGGAGTCCTCAGGTTGTTCTTCAACTCTATACATCCTTGGTTAGGTCCTCATTTAGATTATGCTGCACAGTTTTGGTCACCGTATTACAGAATGGATATAAATGCTCTGGAAAATGTACAAAGGAGGATGACAAAGTTGATCCCATGTATCAGAAACCTTCCCTATGAGGATAGACTAAGGGCCCTGAATCTGCACTCTCTAGAAAGACGTAGAATTAGGGGGAATATGATTGAGGTGTATAAATGGAAGACAGGAATACATAAAGGGGATGTAAATAGTGTGCTGAAAATATCTAGCCTAGACAGGACTCGCAGCAATGGTTTTAAGGTGGAAAAATTCAGATTCAGGAAGGATATAGGAAAGTACTGATTTGGTAATAGAGTTGTGGATGAGTGGAACAAACTCCCAAGTACAGTTATAGAGGCCAGAACATTGTGTAGCTTTAAAAATGGGTTGGATAAATACATGAGTGGGTGTGGGTGGGTGTGAGTTGGAACTGATTAGCTTGTGCTACCAGGTCGGTTGCCATGTTCCTCCCTTAAGTCAATGTGACCTGACCTGACTAGGTTGGGTGCACTGGCTTAAGCCGGTAGGAGACTTGGACCTGCCTCACATGGGCAAGTAGGCCTGCTGCAGTGTTCCTTTGTTCTTATGTAACCGAAGTCCTGCTTCATAAACAGAGGATGGGAGTTCACGGCTGTCAAAAGTTAAACGAGCCACATTGCAAGGGTATCGTCTTCGCCCGCGGGCAGGAAGAACATAAGTGTCTACCTTGAAAATTGGGGGATAGGAAGAACATAAGTGTCTACCTTGAAAATTGGGGGATCTTGGAGTTCCAGCTGTTTGAGAATGTCAGTACCACATGTCTGGAAATTCTGTTGGACTATGGTATGGGGCAGAATAACAGTACCACTACAAGAATTGAGGGAATGATGTTTTTTGATAGTGATAGGAATAGTATCGATATGTGAAACAAGAGAAAGATCATGAGCTTGGGTAGAATTCTGGACTGTGATGATGCGCGTACCACTCTAAGGAGCATGAAAGGAAATATCTCTACCAATGTGACGTAGGAGCGCTTTGCCAATACTATGGTCAGAAAGATAGGCAGTAGAAGAAGTCGGTCTTAATGAAAAGAATTTAGTCCATTGTGTGGCCCGAAACTGAGTGTGGAGAGGGAGTGCATGACGTGTCGGTCTTTTCCGAGTAGAATGGGAAGGTAACGAAGTAACATCATTAGGAGATTGTCGTTGACGTTTAGAAATGGGACCAGAATCGGTCCGACGTGGGACGGGCTGGCGATTCGAAAATCGCCGCACCGTAGAGGGAGAATCCAGAAGCATAGTCAAAGGAGAGCGGAGGTCAGACAAATCGAAGGAGTCAGTGGAAGCCCCGGTACCTGAAGCAGGTGAGGAAACAGCACCAGCAAGAGGTACAGGGGCCTTAGGAATGTCCGAAGAGTGGCCAAAAGATGAGGCGAGGTCAGAACGGGGTGCGGTAACAATAAGGGGCCCGGGGGTAGCGGGGTCATGGATCGGGTACTCCATGGTTAGGTTACTTCTTTCTTTTTGTTTTTAAGAAAAAAAAAGAAAGAAAAGAAAATAAAAATAAAAAAAAAAAGAATAAAAAAAGGGAGGACCGGGGAGGGATAGTTCCTAGGAGGGATGAAAGGGCCAGAAATCTCCCTCCGCGCCCAAGAGGACCTCAGCACCGCATGTAGCGCAGATGCAGCATGGAACCCGTGCCATACCCTACCCATCATGCCAGTAAACCAGCAATCTGGGATAACAACCTCACATCTGCCGAGCTACCTCAGTGGACAAAAGAGAGGGCGGCCGGATATCCGCCACAAAGCATACCTCCTTCGGCCACCACCCCCGGAATCAGAAAAGTGGCTTCCAGAGATACACCCGTCACCCGAAAGACGCCCAAAGCCACCCTCCAGGATACCGGAGAGGGATCGGGACATCCCCAGGCAATCCAGATTCCACGGCAAACTACACCACCGCCAAGAACCTCAACGGAATGGGATGGACCCCAGTACCCTTTCCCCTACCTAGGAACTAGCGCGCCTGTGGGAAAAAATCCCAAAGGCCAAAAAGGAAGGGCAAAAGGGAGGGGTGGGGAGGAGGAGGAGGAAAGGAAAAAGGGGAGGATGGGATAGGGAAGGGGGGATTGGGGGGTAATTAGGTTCGGTCTGAGGAAGGAGACCGACAGGTCTAATTCCTCAGACCAAGAGCCTCTTCACCATGCCAAGGAGCCCCCCTTGAAGAGGAGTGGTAATATTAAATAAACAATTGTCATTATTTGAAAATTACATAAATGCTTTCAAAAAAATGGATGGTGAAATGGTAAAAATTTTTACAGCATACACTGAACAAAAATTAAATAGCAGGGCTAAGTCTGCTGTGTTTTTTAAGATGTATCAAAGAATTCTGGATAACTCATTGAAATCTCATTAAGAGAAAAATGTTAACACTTTTATGTTCTTTCAAAAAACAATAGATCTCCTCACATTATGGAGATGATTTGTAAAAAAAAAAAAAGAAAAAATGAAAATTCATTTGGTAGACAGGAAAGATGAGATAACCAAATATAAAACAAATTACTAAAAAATATAAGAAAACAGATAAGGAAAATTTCTTAGCTTCATCGACAGGAAAAAGAAGAAGCTACACCTCCAAACTATGACAAAATCAGTGCCAAAAGACAACTAGAAAAATATTTCTTCACTAAGTGCCAGATAGCTGGAATGCGACCCATAAAGAGGTAGTGTGGTACACCCACAAAAGCTTATACAATTTATACATATAACAACTTAAATATTGAAAATAGGAAAACACGAGCACTGCTCTGCTCTTGTAGCCACAAATAGGTAATTACACACACTCACACATCAAAATTTAAGCTGAAGAAAAGCTTTTATTTACAAAAGAGCATTTAGAGTCTTTGAAGAGCTATACTATTCTACAAAAAGCATCACATCAGGTCATATATCACACCAACTTACCATCAGCACGGCTGGGGACACTGACAGTGTGTCGCCGTACAGACCTTTCTCCGGGCAAGTATTCTTCCCTATAGAAAGCCTCGTGTAAACTTGTCTTCCTCATCTTCGTGTAGAACAAAACAATAATTATCGTGTACTAAAAACCACCATTGTGAAAAGAACAAATTTTACATAGTCTGCAAGGAATTGTAATACCAGTTGCAAAATTTACTGAAATCAAGCCTCTAAGTCATTGTATATATATTGCTATCAATGTTTCTCTATTCTATGCCTTATACTCAATTCCCAAACTAAGATCATGAACACAGCTATGGATACAAGACACAGACTAACATTATCCAATATGTAATAATATATCACATGCTGTATAATACACTACTCTTAACTTAATAGGATCACATCTCAGTCTTATTTAGCAAAAATTATGCATAAAAAAAAAATTTGAAGTAAACAGATTTGTTTTCAAGTAAACCTGGCTGGAACCCATGCTCTTTAATCAACCCAGCGCCCCTTCCATGTGCAAAACTGCCATTTGGCATAAGAGCATATCTGTAGTTCACCTACTAGGAGGGGCACTGGATTGTTAAAAACATTTACTGGCACAGTATATTCAGATGTGAATTCATATTTATTATGTGGTATAATTTACAAAGCTTCTTATGTCTGTAAACATTAAAACTAAAACAAGTCATAACAAAAAATCTATTAAATCTAAAACCTGCATTAAAATTTTGACTGAAGATAAATTTTTAGTTTTCATAATGTATAAAGGTAATATCTACAACACAAAGAATTCCTAAAATTGTGTCAATTACATTATCATCACTAGTGAGGACAGTTTTAAATTTTTTTTTAGGCATGCTACACTGACCATTATGCAGAGTACCATGTCTGTTACAGTACTTGTAAATCAATTCACATTAGAAGAAATACCTTAAAAAAAAAAATAAAAGATTGAAACAAACCATGGAGTTAGGATTAAATATCTAATAATACCCAACAATTAATATCCTAAGTAAGATCTTAGAAAAATCACACAAAACTATATGCAAATCTACAAAACAAAAGCTCCTGGATCTATATTATTTTTCTCCCACACTTATTTTAATGTAAGTACATTAACTGATCTGACAATCTCATTCTGGATAAATCCTTCTCTCACACACACATTACATTCAGTATCTGTTAGCCTAAAATGTCGCTGGAATGAAAATTCATTACACCTTCCTCCCAAGAAATATAAATGAGGAAACTTAAATAAATAAATAAATAAAGCTTCTGATATGCCAATTATCTATTTTGTAACTAAGCTAACCTATATTTAACCTAACCTTACTAATCATTACATAAAATACAGTAACTTAATTTGCTTAATCTAAGAATCTGCATAACTGTATTTCACTGAGGGGAAGAAGGGTCAACTCTTCAGATAATTTAATTCCTATTTAGACTGATGCTTAACAAGCTTATTTTCTGTAAATCAAGTAAAACAACATTTCTTCCTTTCACCACAGTGGAACAATCATTTCTCAGTTTTATATCTTGTACACACAAGTTGATGATTAAGACACATGTGCAACAGTTGGTATCTTTATTCTTGAAGTGTTTCACCTACACAGTAGGCTTCTTCAATCAAATACAGAAGTGACTAAATATGGAGACAGCAGAAACAATGATGAGATAATGATGTCATCAGTCCATCAACCTCCAAGAAATACTTAATGGCTTGATTACATCATCTTGGTCTTGCCACTGCTTCTGCTGTCTCCATATTTAATCACCGCTGACTCACGAAATCATAATGACACGATTGCAAACAAACCATACCACGGGCGAGGTTTGAACCCACGGTCAGTCTCTCTCTGATGGCTTTGAGGGGACTTGAGCTAGAGTTTGTCACAGCCATGCTAGCGGGAGATTCATCTGTAAAAACTTGCATTTGTGGTCGCAGTGGTGCCTTTGCTAACCTTCCTATGGTGTAGAAATATACTTAGTTGGATGAATCTCATTAAGCTAGCTGGCCCAGTGGCTAACGCGACGGTCTGGAGTTTTGAGATTCTCTGACCATGGGTTCAAACCCCACCTGTGGTATGGTTTAATCACCTCTGTATCTGACTGAAGAAGCCTACATGTAGGCAAAACATTTCAAGAATAAAGATACCTAACTGCTGCACAGGTGTTATCAACTTGTTGGTACTGCGTACTATTTTCATTATCTTGTACACACACTGTTTTGAGTAAAATTCTGCTTCATGTCCACACTCCATCTCACTACTAACTGTAAAAAGAAGACCGAAGGCAGAACAATTAGAGAAAATGCAAAGATCAACATCAGCAGCACAGGTTAATCTTGTAAACATAAGAGTGGCTTTAAAAAACTCAGAGAAACATTTAACACACATTTTACCTCATGCGAGCAACTCAACCTTGAATATGCAGTGCTGATGCAGAACACTTGCCTAATTATACAAAAGTAAAACTTGAGACGAGACAACACAACATGAGAACTATGACCTGTGTAACTGGAGGAGCAAAGAACATGGAAGGATATGATCATAACATATAAAACACTACAAGACACACACACAGGGTAAAAGACTTGCAACAAAAATAATAGGGCATGCTTGGAAATTACACACACAAATGAGCAACAGGGATATCAAAACACATTTTTTCAACATGATAGTAAAGTGGAATGAGCTGAACAATGACACAATGGAAGTGGACTCCATACAGGATTCAATAATAGATATGACAGGCTAATTCACATTAAATAGTTGAAAGTTAAAAGGGTGAATGAAGAACTACAGTCCAACTCCTTTACAATTCTATTTTCTTTTTAACCACACCAGATAATTATATAATTGTTTTATGATCCTCGTAGTGTGTATATTAATTGCCGTATTAGACCAAAGAAACTGTGCTTTCAGTATAACAAACAATTAGGTAAAATAGTTTGGGATTTTGTTTTACAGTACTTTTACTTCTTTTCTTATTGCTATAGTTGCGATCAAACATGACAAGACAATAACTTCTATATTTATCTAACAAAAAAATTAGGAAGAATATAATGGTTTTTCTTTTGCAGTATTTTTATCTTTTATTGTTACTGTTGCAATCAAACATGATGGCCTATACCTTCTGAATGCAAAATACACATGCAATTTTTTTCAGGTGCATGAAATTTACTAGTGCTAATGGTATTAACAGTACTTTTTGCAAAATAAATAAGCATTCAAAATAATGAATTATAAACTGTGTATTTGTTTTAATAGTTTAACCATTTACATTTTGCTACTAGCTATAAGTTTCCATATCAAAATGTGTATTTTACTCAGCGCTTTTTAACCTTTTTCAGGGAGTGGGGGGTCACCTTTGCAAAGTTCTTTTATGATCAGGTCCAACATACTATATCAAGGCTTCAGAATGAAAAGTAATCTGTCCTCCAGGACTCATCTGGAGTTGGGAAGTACAGTGGTACCTTGGCTTACGAGTTTAATTCGTTCTGTGACCGAGTTCATAACTCGGTTTGCTCGTATATCAAATCAATTTTCCTCACTGAAATTAACTGAAATGTCATTAATCCATTCCAATGGAATTCCTGGCTCTCAGGAGGCAGGAGAAAATACTTCAATATAATGCTAATATCAACTCTACAGCTTATTTATCTATCACAATTGATCTAATATGACCTAACAAACAATATAAATAATATAGAAACACGATATATATACTCTAGAATGAGTAAAATACATCATTATGTGATGAGTGGTGGCGGCCACTCCCAAAGTAAAAATAATTATTGCTCTGATCATATCTTCCCATTATTACCCTTCTGAGATCTTATTATAAGAGAAAACAGCATTTGTGAGGTTAACTGCACTAGATCACTAGTTTCATATGGAAAACACTGAAACAAAAGCGATTTTCTCATGTTTTTCTGATTTCATGCTTTAATTCAATGGACACCATCCTCTTCTTCTCAGCACTGTCCTTTGCACTTACTTTCTTAGGACCCATGGTTAGAAAAAAGAAATTTGGCAAAATAACTGCCAAAAAGCACAAAATGCTGGGATGCTGTGCGGATGTTGTGGCATTTGCTGAGCCAACTAGTGGCAGCGTATCTGAAGCTCACTCGTAACTTGGATTTTGGCTCGCAACTCAAAGCAAAAAATCGACCAAGCGACGACTCATAACTTGGAAAACTCATAAGCTGGGGCACTTGTAAGTCAAGGTACCACTGTACAATGCTTACACCCTGAAGGTATGGTGTTACAGATCAGAGAGTCAACTGAAAGGTGAAGATCGTGAGCTTCTGGCAAGTGTGATTGAATAAATGGCTTCGAATTCATTTCCTCTCATTATTAATTGCCTGACTCATACTAACAATAATTATAAAAATTAATGGTAGGTATATCTAGTCAGAGATTAAAAAACAAAATTACAAGTACGATGAGTGATATGGCTGACGCGAGCTTATACATGATACTCTCGTGTATACACAAGATCACATGCACGATGGTCAATACCAACAAGTGACATACACCAAAACTGTTGACGAGGATGATGCATTGTGGGTTTATTGAAGCAGTCAACTTACTGACTTGTTCGGGTCGAATTTTGAAAAACTATAGAATGGCCATATCATCTAGATTTGCTCGATAAATTAAATTTCTCTTTTTATTTAATCAAAAAAATTTGTTCATTACATATAATATGACAAAAACTTGAGGGGTAGCCCCTCTTCGGCTAGACACGGTCAGGTTACCAGAAACACATCTTTATTTTCTAGGTCTTATCTCTTCAGGTACTGGATTGAACAAGATCACCAAATAATGTTAAAAGCAGAATAACCAACTGCCAGATAAACTGATGATCTACTGTATTACCACTAAATCCAGATACTCAATTCAGGGCTCAATGTAAAAGAGAATTCTTGGAGCAATGAAAGGAAGAAATGTTATAAACCTAAGAAGATATGAAATGTTCTTGTGATTTTTAATGTGATGCAGTAAATTTTTTAACATATTATTACAGTATACATGTATAAATAAACTTACAATGAACAGAGAATAACTCGAGCCTTACAGTAAGCTACAGACTCATACCTTCATCTTATGAACTTCTTTTCGAAGTACCCTGCACAATTAACAAATGTGAAAAATCTACAAAACTCTAATACATTATGGTAAACATCTATGCTTAAATCTCATCACTTCTGCATAAAATTAAATACAGGGGCAATCATGTTTTTATCCACAGTTTTTTTTTAATCTACTTTAAACTTATTCACTGAATGTTCCAAGAGTAACAAACTGAAGATAACGCAGTCACACCTGCATCATAAAATGTTCAACTGAGCTAAAGGTAAAAGGCCGAGGTTCATGACACGAAGAGCACTCGAAACTATGTCTTTTCCATTATAACACAAAATTGGAACAAGATGTCATTTTAAATAACACACCTAGAATTAAGAGGTAGCAAATGGCTATATTTACATACTTAAGTTCATGATTCTCAACCTTACAGCTGAAAGAAAGCTGTAATGTTATCATCACTATCATGAAACATACGACAACATGATAAAGATTTCCTGTGAAGCACATCCTTCACTAATGACAATAGTGTGTTTTTAATTGTTTGCCCTTATCAATTAATGATTTGTAGTAAATACTATCAAGACCTGTTACAACAAAGTGCATGAGTATTATTTCGGGTCATCCTATAGCAATTAATCAATCTCAATCTATTTAAAAAAAATTTCACACAGGCTGCAACGAAAGCAATGCTATGTTATTTTTATACATAATTTTTTTTTTATAAAGTACTATAGAGGATATAGTTGTGTGTTCATGAAAATATGTATTCACGTAAATGTACTCTAGTCCAGTGGTGCAACCATGGGTGAGATAATGGCTACACAGCTCCCCAGATACAAATACTTTTCATTGTATTCAAATGATGGCTAATTTTCACCAGGAAAGCACAATAGCCTAAGAAATTTCAAATACATACTGAAAAAACATGTTTTTTAAATATAAGTTCTTTGATTTTCTTCCTGCATTTCATAATTTCTAAGTCCCCAAATTTAAATCCTGGTGGCACTACTGCTTTAGCCTATGGTGCATATATAATCATGTAAGTGTACTCATCTATTTATGTGGAGTAAGGTCCTGTCCTAGTGCCCAACCACTAACACTTAATTTACTAGTGGTACCTCCCCATCCACACGTGATTTCTAATAATTGCATTCAATATGCTGCAATATTCCTTCCCTAGTGCAGTAACTTTACTTAGATTCACCCACACATATTTGTAGTAACACAAGTGTAAGTGAAGACAAAGCCAATTATTTCTTTTTGGGTACCTGAATTAATATAATAATAATAATAATAATAATAATAATAATAATAATAATAATAATAATATATAATAATAATAATAATAATAATATAATAATAATATAAAAATAATAATAATAATAATAATATGTTTATAGTTTTATGATTATTATTTTATTATTTGCAGCACCCTAACACTGAAGAAATTATTTCTAATGTGGTATCTTGTTGGCTCATTTGGGTACTCCGATTCCATTTATCCCCCACTTGTCATTGTTTCACTTCCAAATTATGTCTTTATCAACTTTCTCCATACCTCTTAATATCTTGTATGTTGTGATCATATCCCTCTATTTTATTTTTCTAGCTCTGTGAGATTTAGCTTTCTCTAACTTATCTTAGTTTGTGCTATGATGCCATGGCTACATCTGTTAAAGGTCTAGGAAAACTCCATATTAAAGCATCATTGTTCACCCTTGAGTGTTTCAAATTTGTTATTGTGGCTTATCATTTTTAGGTATATGTAATTTAAAGTTCCCAATTACAACATATTCCATTTATTATCATGTAGAAGTGCATCCCATACTGCATACCCTGCCATTTTGATGGTCAATTCCTACATTCTCACCCAAAATATCCAGAAATATCACACATTTTCTTGAGCTAATGGCCCACCACTCTGTACAACCTAGCCTTCATGACTTACAAAGTCGTAAACAACACAATTGCAAACAAATCACAGAACGGGTGGGGCTCAAACAACCTAGTTTATGAAGAGCTCAGGATAATCCACACAAGGAGTTTTACTAAATATAATGAATATTCAGTAACAAAGCATCCATACTACCCTTGAAAAATTTACTGAAATTCAAAACCAAATTCCATCACCAATCAAAATTTCAAAATCAGTAGGTATACCCTACCATACAGTATTATTAAAGTTACCTTTCTATATGCTATTCTTTGCTCTACTTGCCCTATATCACTCTAAGAAATATAATTACGTCACAATCTCTATTTGTGTATGAAGTTAAGCTATCATAATCTATCTCAAGAGAATCATTACACAGTAAAGCTTGATAATCACAACTCTTAATCTGACTTTAGAATCGTTGAATGCCACCCTTATATACAGTATTGAAAAAAAAATTAAATGAACATAGCAGCCAAGGCAAAGCCAAAGCTACTTGGCAGTCAAAGCAGAGTAAAAATGGCAATAAAATATCAAGGAATATCACTGAGACAAGAAAGGCTAATGAGAGGGAGGGTATGCAATGAACCCAACAGATGTGCATTTGCAAATGAGCAAAGGCCAGTACCAGAGATAAAAGAGAGGATAAACTAAAGAGAACCACGAAGCAATGAAACCATCTACAGTAATAATGAAGTGAGGAGACCCCCTGATGAAATTTAAAACATCCATGGCATCAGGAAAAGTTGAAATAACACAATGAATATTAAGAAAAGGAATTGAAATACTGTGTAAGCCACTCTCATAGATCTTTAACTAATCACTGACCACATACGAAATGTCTAATGAGGTGCCAGTGCTAAGTGAATGGAAGATAGAAAATGTGGTAAAAATATTCATGAAAAGTGACAGCCCAGATCTGTTCAGTTTCCAAATAGGTGTGATGTATAAAATTTTGGAAAAGGTTATAAGGGAGAAGCCTGTTGAACAACCTAAAAGAGAACTAAATTCCCTGTAGAATATCAGCATCAATTCAGAAAACGTAATGCTAAATACTGTACAAACTTGTGATTTTCTCCGTAAAATGTATGGAAAGAGGGTGAGACAATGTGACCTGTAAGAACAGGAGTTAGAGCACCTGAGTCACTACCATCAACCTGGGTCCGAATCCCACACTTGATGAGATGTATGCTGCCTCTGTTCACCCATAGACCACACAACATGGTGAGCACAAAGTTTATTTGCAAGAGCAAGTCCCTAATTTTTTTTAATTCAGCTGGTAGGTTTTTTGGAAGATGAGTTAACAATGTATCTCAACAACTGAGTTACGTATTCATTTTTAATGCAAAAATAAACCCCATTTTTATGAGGAAATTGAGTAGCATTTATCAATGAAACCTATCAACCAAATTAAAAAAAAATTGCCTCAAAAAATTTGCCTCCAGAAATTTTTGTTTGTAACACACCAGCCATCTCCCAACAACGTAGGGTGACCTGAAAAAAGAAGAAATACTTTCAACATCACTCACTTCATTACTGTCCTGTCAAAGGTGCACCAATACTAGGGTTCAGATGCTTCTTCAAACTGCAATATCCTCACCCCTTCCACCTCCAGGACTCAAGTTCGACTAACAGGTTTCCCTGAATTAATCCATAAATGTTACCTTGCTCACACTCCAAAAACACATAAAAAAAAAAAAATGCTTCCACTCACTCATATTTAACTCATTCATGCATACCTGTTTTATGTCCTAGCCCTTGGCATACAAAACCTCCTTTAATCCCCTCCCTCCATCCTTTCCTAGGACAACCCCTACCCTGTCTTCCTCCACTATGGATTTATACACCCTTCAAGTCATCCTATTTTGCTCCATCCTCTCTAAATGAGCAAACTACCTCAACAACCCCTCTTCAGCCCTCTAGGTAATACTTTTAGTAATCCCGTGCCTCCTTCTAATCTCCAAACTATAAATTCGCTGCATAATATCCACACCGCACATTACCCTCAAATATAACATCTCCATTACCTCTAGCCTCCTCCTTGCAGGCAACATTCACAACCTGTGCCTCATCTATATAACAATGTTGGCACCATTATACTCTTATACATTCCCCTTTTGCCTCCATAGCTAACACTCTTTGCCTCCAACACAGATGCCTTAATGCACCACCCATCTGTTTACCCTCGTCAATTCTATGGTTCACCTCGTCTTTCATGGAACTGTCCACTGATAAGTTCACTCCCAAATATCTTCAGGAATTCACTTTTTCCATACTCACTCCTAGTATCCAATCTCTTGTGGCAGGTAAATACTGCCTCGTATTTCTACAATTACTACATATTGAAATGTCTTTGATTTCACTTTTGTGTGAATGCAAACCCAAACTACCTATCTGGATGAACTAAAGGTCAGATCAGGATTTGATTTCATCCATTCCATCATGGAATCTGGTTCAACAAAATTTTGTTTATCAAGCATCTTTGTATATGCACTATACTACACTTATTATGTCTATTCATAGAAATTTCTAGCAAAATTTGACACATGCCCTAATTATTGCAGTACTGGTAGCTTTGTTTGGCACATGCATATCATAATCATGCATATTGTTAAAAATAAGTATTAAGATAAGCATAAAATTATGCTAAATCACAAGATTAATTAAATCAACACAAAGGACGTACCTCTATCCCTGATGGAGTTGGTGAAGTTCTTACGCCCATACAAGTCAATGATGAATGGTTTGACTTATGCTGCTTTTTTTTAACAGGGGGCAGCACCTTCCTACTACGTATTCCACCCCATTTCCACACCTTCCATTATATCTTCTTATGAAATTTAATAGATATCATTTCATATACCTTCTATATTTGTCCCTTTTACTTTTTATAGACATCTTTCTAACCACCAGTGATAGTTTTTAAGGGAACATATTTTCCTTTACTTTAGTTCAGTTCATCTTCAATAACGAAGTTCATTTTTAAATATTTTTCAAACCTACATTTTTTGTTTTAAAAAGGCACAACTAGTAATGATCTGCAGTTTCTCCAACCTGCAAATTTAAGAAAATTTCAGTAAAGAATAATAACAATAAACAATTCTTAACTTTATAATACAATCAAAACAGCTTACTCTCCTGTGGGTTACCCAATTTTTACCATACTCAGTAACCCACAGAAGAAACAAATTCACTGTCATGCAAGTCAACAGATGTCTTGTTAAATATGCAAAGGCATCACAATTCAAATGGTCCTCCAAATCACAGCATCCCACCCATCCTTCAGAGTGCAGGCACTGTACTTCCAACATCCAGAACTAAAGTCTGGCTTACCAGCTTTCAACAAGTCCCTTCATAAATGTTACCATGCTCACACTCCAGCAGGCCGTCAAATCTGAAAAAAACACTCATCACTACTACTTCCAATCTAACGCTATTTGCACATGCCTGCTAGATGATCAAGTCCCTACCACTTAAAATCTTCATTCTCTCTCCATAACCCTTCTTTAAATGACCCTTACCCTTTCTGTCAACCTCAGATGTATACACCCTCTTGGTCAGGATATTTGGTGCCATCCTACCTAAATACGTATACACTTCAGTACCTGGAGTTTACCTGGACAGGGTTTCGGGGGTCAATGCCCCCGTGGCTCAGTCTGAGACCAGGCCTCATGGTGGATCAGGGTCTGATCAATCAGGCTGTTACTGCTGCTAGAAACACAGTACATATTATGTACTAGGCAGAAGACAAGAGCTGTGAATCAGTCTCCACAAATAAGAGAGGGAAGAAATAGTCTGAAACAGAAAGATGTTAAAAAACATATGGAAAGTGACCAAGAAGCAAAATATATAAACAGCAAATATGTTAAGATATCAAAGGACTGTTTATATTGATGAGATTACATAATACAGTAAAACAGAACTATTGTTGAACACTGATCACTATAATAAGAAAGATGTTGCTTTTTATGAATGCATATAAATGAAATGGCATGAGTGAGAGAAAGGAACATACCATCAATATTTGATCTGGAATTTACAAGAACAAAGGATGTAATTTTCAACACAAATTTATGTAAATCCACATGGAAAGAGTGATCTTGTTCCACTGGAAATACTATTATGAGATGTTAAATATGACTTGGAAGAAAAAAAAGATACATATACAGGAGCAACTAAAGTTTATGAAAAAATACAATACACTGTACTTTAAATCAGTATTTAAGAGAAACAAAATTTTGTGAGCATGTAAGACAGGAGTGAGTGGAAGCCAGTGTTTTTATTATGATTCGACGTGCTGTTGGAATGTGAGCAATGTAACATTTATGAAGGAATTCGGGAAAACTGACTAGCTGGACTCTGAATCCTGGAAATGGAAGTGCAGTGCTTGCACTTTGAAGGAGGGGAGGGATGTGGAAGTTCAGTGTTATCTGAGCTGTGGTGTAAGTATGCTTCTGGCAAGACAGTGACTGACTTAATGATGGTGAAAGTGCTTCGTCTTTTAATGGTTATTTTATCTTGGTGAGAGATGGTCAATGTGTTAAGAATTTTTTTTTTTTTTTTTTTTTTTTTAACAAGTCGGCCGTCTCCTACTGAGGCAGGGTGACCCAAAAGAAAGAAAATCCCCAAAAAGAAAATACTTTCATCATCATTCAACACTTTCACCTCACTCATACATAATCACTGTTTTTGCAGAGGTGCTTAGAATACAACAGTTTAGAAGCATATCCCTCCAAACTGCCTATATCCCCAACCCCTCCTTTAAAGTGCAGGCATTGTACTTCCCATTTCCAGGACTCAAGTTTGGCTATATAAAAATAACCAGTTTCCCTGAATCCCTTCACTAAATGTTACCCTGCCCACACTCCAACAGTTCGTCAGGTCCCAAATACCATTTGTCTCCATTCACTCCTATCTAACATGCTCATGCACACTTGCTGGAAGTCCAAGCCCCTCGCCCACAAAACTTCCTTTACCCCCTCCCTCCAACCTATAAATATAAATAATGTATAAATAGTTATGTAAAATTTGTGAAACTGGAATTACAGTTTAGTCCACAAATGGGCAGAAGAAGAAATATTAAAGAATGGCTTAATGGATAGTTTTGGAAAGCAATGAAAAGTCAAGAAAGGACCTGGAAACAACATAGGAAGCAGGCAAATCCAGAGACATATCAAAGAATAAACAAGCCAGAAATTAATATACAAAGTTAAGGAGAGAATAAGAAAGGAACTTTGAAAAGGAAATAGTGGACAAGAACAAGATGGAACCAACTTTTTTTTTTTTTTTCAAATTTGTAAAGAGCCAACTAAATGTTAAGACTAAATACAAAGAATTTGAGATGGCAACAAAATCACTTGAGAGGAGGAGGAAATATGTGACATAACAAAGAGGAAGCTAGGTGCTTGTTTACAAAATATGTCTTATGTGTAGCAGCCAAGTAAAATGGTAGTACTCATTATTGGATGCTGAAAAAAAAAAAGACCACTATTATCAGATAAGGCAGCACCATAGGTTTTAATGTAATAAGCAGAAGAAATTTTTTGTGATTTTATTTCAAGAAGGAAAATTGGCATACGGAAAAATGGAAGATTTCTCACATCTGGCCAATATTTAAAAAGGGTGACAAGGAAGAACCTTTAAACAACAGGTCAGTTTCACTGACAAGAGTTGTTGTAAAAAATACTAGAAGAAGCCATTAGAAAAAAGTGGATAAAACACTTGGAAAACAATTTACTGATGAAGAAACAATTTGGCTTTCAGTCTGGAGATTGTGCTGCATAACAAAGATATTTCAAAACATAAGGAGAATAAAAGGTGTATCATTAAAAATGGATGAGAGATTGTTTAAGGAAAGTAAGAGGAAAAAATGTCCTTATGGGGAGATGTCACAAGTGGGGTGGTGCAAGGATGTATATGAGCCCCAAGATCTTTTTTTTTTTACCTCGACAACCATCCATGAAGGCAGGGTGATCCAGAGAAGAAAACACCTTCACCATCAGTCATTCTAAAAATAAAAACTATGTATATGAATATGCTTGCATATGATGCAAAAATACCAGGTCAGATATATAATAAAATTGACTGTAAACCTCTTCAGGATGACCTGAATAAATTGAGTAAATAGAGCAATAGATGGATGATGGAATTTCATGTATATAAATGCCAAGTAATAGAAATGGGAGACTGAAATCAGGCCACATGAAGAATATACAGCAGACTGTGTGATATGATATTGCAAATTGCAAAAAAAAAATTTGGTGCTGAAAGAATATTTGGAAACTTTACTTCACAGAGTGGTAGATCAATAGCTTTGCTCCTGTAGTTACAAATCAGTACTAGTTACAAAGGACATAACACTAGCCAGTAGCTCACTGCATGTGAATCTGTGCCTATAAAAGTAAAACCACTCAGTGGAGTACTCTAACAGTCATGAAACATAAATATAAAGAATCAACAAGTAAAATATGATATGGGGGTAGGTCAGGTATTCTTAAAAAAGAATAATCTAGTTGTATGAACAGGCCTTACTTCAAAAAATAAAGCCAAGTTAACATTCCAGTACAGGAGAGAGAATGCATCCACAGGGTCAGGAAGAGCAACCCAAAGCCGCAGAACACGTCAAAGGGTCCAGGGACATTGTGAGGAACCCGTCTTGAATCTGAAGCAAAGAAATTACCAATTTGTAGCAAATGGAGCAGAGCTCTCTTAGTAGTGTTTTATGTTCAGTAATTAAGTCACCATATAGTTTGTTTAAATTTCCCATGGGTGTAGCACTGACTCTTCTTGTAACCCATTCCACTGTTCCACCACTCTTTAAAAAAAAATACCTTTCCAGTATGCTTTTAGTTTAACATTTTTCAATTTACTATTGTGGCCTCTTCTGTTGAAAACACAGTAAAACAAATCTTAATCAGTTTTTTATATCCTTTTATGACTTAGATGGTTATCATGCATTCTCTTTTCCTCCTATCAGTCAATGAAGACATTTTTAGTGCTATCAGTCCATCATAACTAATATTTTGTAGCTCTGGGAGCCAATTTGTAACTTTCATTTGAGCATCTTTTATCCTGTGTTTATGGTTTTTAGGTGTGTGCATCATACTGCTGCTGTATATTCACATTTTGTCAGAGCATACACTGAGAATAGTGTTTCCATCCATACAGTTGAAAGTTTCTTCTCACTATTTGTCTTAAAATCTTCCAGTGACAATCTTTTTGCTAATTTTAACTCCTAGATTCCTCTGACACTTTCACTATTTTGTCGCACAATCTCTTTTTCTTTAATTACTTTCTTTTTTTCTTTTCACCGCTTACAGTAAAAGGCATTTAAGTATAGAACCCATCCATGCATTCTACTGTTAACGTTACATTTGCAGGATAATAAACCATAACACCAATGTAGAATTAAGATTCTTCCTTGAGAACCGCAACAGAGCCCATTGGCATCAAACAAGAAATAAATTTGTTGAAAATCTGGAATATCATACCAACAAGATATTTTACTATGGATAGATTTCAGTTCTGGGACCTTGCTCACTCCCAGAGTAAGCAAGGTGTTTAAAGTGAACCAGGTCCCAGCACTGAAACATCTCTATAATAATAAAAGGTTAGGTAAAGTTTGTCAGAAAACAGGGAAGTGTTTCCTAACCTTTTGGTCTTCTGACCTAGGCCATCTGCTGGCTTACTGATTCACCTCTTTAAAATTTATGGTCATAATTCTAACAATTTTTTTTATATTAACCCTTTGACTGTCGCAACCCCCAATCCTGAGGTGTCTCCTGGTGTCGCAAAATTTAAAAAAAAAAATTATTTTTTCTTATGAAATGATAGAGAATCTTTTCCGATTGTAATGACACCAAAAAAAACGAAATTTGATGGAAAACTGACGGAATTATGCTCTCGCGAAGTTAGCGACCTCGGCGCTGTTTACAAATCGGCGATTTCGCCCACTTTGAGCCCTATTTTCGGCTAATTCCATTGTTCCAGTCGCCCAAACTCATAGCTATAAAGGTCGAGAACCAAAACCTAGTCATTGTGATAGTCTACAAGCCTCCGGATGCAACATCCCAGCAATTCCAGGAACAGCTGTTAAAAATTGACCACTGTCTGGAAAACCTTCCAGCTCCTGCACCCAACATCTTGCTCCTGGGGGATTTCAACTTAAGGCACCTAAAATGGAGGAATATAGCAAATAATATTGTTGCAGTAATAACACCAGGAGGCAGCTCTGATGAAAACTCACACTCACGCGAGCTTTTAAATCTCTGCACAAAATTCAATTTAAACGAGCAAATAATAGAGCCCACTGACTGGAGAATACACTAGACCTCATCTTCACATAACAATGATGATCTGATAAGAATATCAAACCCTATCAAAAACAATTACTCAGATCACAACATAATTGAGGTTCAGTCATGTATGCGCGGAGCCCCAGACCGACATAATGAGATTAGTCACGAGGGAGCATTCACCAAATTCAACTTCAATAACAAAAACATAAAGTGGGACCAAGTAAACCAAGTCCTAACCGATATAAGCTGGGAAGATATACTAAGTAACACAGACCCCAACTTATGCCTAGAACAGATTAACTCGGTGGCACTCGATGTATGCACAAGGCTTATTCCTCTAAGAAAAAGGAGGAGTAGATGTAAAACAGAAAGAGACAGGCGCTCCCTTTAGAGGCGACGGAAAAGAATAACAGAGCGGCTAAAAGAGGTCAATATATCTGAAATGCGTAGGGAGACACTGGTCAGAGAAATAGCAAGCATCGAACTTAAGCTAAAAGAATCCTTTAGGAGTCAGGAATCGCGGGAAGAACTAAAAGCCATAAATGAAATCGAAAGAAACCCAAAGTATTTCTTCTCCTATGCCAAATCAAAATCGAGAACAACGTCCAGTATTGGGCCCCTACTTAAACAAGATGGGTCCTACACAGATGACAGCAAGGAAATGAGTGAGCTACTCAAGTCCCAATATGACTCAGTTTTTAGCAAGCCGCTAACCAGACTGAGAGTCGAAGATCAAAATGAATTTTTTATGAGAGAGCCACAAAATTTGATTAACACAAGCCTATCCGATGTTATCCTGACGCCAAATGACTTCGAACAGGCGATAAATGACATGCCCATGCACTCTGCCCCAGGGCCAGACTCATGGAACTCTGTGTTCATCAAGAACTGCAAGAAGCCCCTATCACGAGCCTTTTCCATCCTATGGAGAGGGAGCATGGACACGGGGGTCGTCCCACAGTTACTAAAAACAACAGACATAGCCCCACTCCACAAAGGGGGCAGTAAAGCAACAGCAAAGAACTACAGACCAATAGCACTAACATCCCATATCATAAAAATCTTTGAAAGGGTCCTAAGAAGCAAGATCACCACGCATCTAGAAACCCATCAGTTTACACAACCCAGGGCAACATGGGTTTAGAACAGGTCGCTCCTGTCTGTCTCAACTATTGGACCACTACGACAAGGTCCTAAATGCACTAGAAGACAAAAAGAATGCAGATGTAATATATACAGACTTTGCAAAAGCCTTCGACAAGTGTGACCATGGCGTAATAGCGCACAAAATGCGTGCTAAAGGAATAACAGAAAAGTCGGTCGATGGATCTATAATTTCCTCACTAACAGAACACAGAGAGTAGTCGTCAACAGAGTAAAGTCCGAGGCAGCTACGGTGAAAAGCTCTGTTCCACAAGGCACAGTACCGCTCCCATCTTGTTCCTCATCCTTATATCCGACATAGACAAGGATGTCAGCCACAGAAACCGTGTCTTCCTTTGCAGATGACACCCGAATCTGCATGACAGTGTCTTCCATTGCAGACACTGCAAAGCTCCAGGCAGACATCAACCAAATCTTTCAGTGGGCTGCAGAAAACAATATGAAGTTCAAACGATGAGAAATTTCAATTACTCAGATATGGTAAACATGAGGAAATTAAATCTTCATCGAGTACAAAACAAATTCTGGCCACAAAATAGAGCGAAACACCAACGTCAAAGACTTGGGAGTGATCATGTCGGAGGATCTCACCTTCAAGGACCATAACATTGTATCAATCGCATCTGCTAGAAAAATGACAGGATGGATAATGAGAACCTTCAAAACTAGGGAGGCCAAGCCCATGATGACACTCTTAAAGGTCACTTGTTCTATCTAGGCTGGATATTGCTGCACACTAACAGCACCTTTCAAGGCAGGTGAAATTGCCGACCTAGAAAATGTACAGAGAACTTTCACGGCGTGCATAACGGAGATAAGACACCTCAATTATTGGGAGCGCTTGAGGTTCCTAAACCTGTATTCCCTGGAACGCAGGAGGGAGAGATACATGATTATATACACCTGGAAAATCCTAGAGGGACTAGTACCGAACTTGCACACGAAAATCACTCACTACGAAAGCAAAAGACTTGGCAGACGATGCACCATCCCCCCAATGAAAAGCAGGGGTGTCACTAGCACGTTAAGAGACCATACAATAAGTGTCAGGGGCCCGAGACTGTTCAACTGCCTCCCAGCACACATAAGGGGGATTACCAACAGACCCCTGGCAGTCTTCAAGCTGGCACTGGACAAGCACCTAAAGTCAGTTCCGGATCAGCCGGGCTGTGGCTCGTACGTTGGTTTGCGTGCAGCCAGCATCAACAGCCTGGTTGATCAGGCTCTGATCCACCAGGAGGCCTGGTCTCAGACCGGGCTGCGGGGGCGTTGACCCCCGGAACTCTCTCCAGGTAAACTCCAGGTAAACTTAGAACTTCATTTTTTCTATCGATTGAATACAAGAAACTGCCCATTTACTGATTTCAACTACCTAATAATGTGGTCAGAAATTTGCAATTTGGCCAATTTCACGAAAACAAAAAAATATGACAATTTCAAAATAAGGTCCAGAATGAACAATGCAGACATTCCTGGCTCTAAAATAACATTTTCTTTGTTCATCAGTCACGTCTCCAGGCCCTTCTGATATTACTCTTGCTTTCTATTTTGAATTTTTATTCAAACAAAAAATATTAGACTTACTATTATGCAGACTACTGCAATGCTGTAATAACTGTATAAATAACATCAACCCATTCATGACTGCATATTAGAATGGCTAGTTGGACATTTATTGGACAATGGCATCATTTTTTTTACTTTTGAACATTGGCAAAAATCAAACATTTCCCCTACTTTGAGCTCCATTTCTAGGTTCTTTTTATAGTAAAATCAATCAAAATCACCTCTATTTCTGTAATATGTTTTCCATTCTATCAAATGAGACCAAGAAAACGAGAATACAACCATAAATACTATACGAAAATAGACCACAAAGTCGGCATTTTAATTAAAAAAAACGGTCGGAGTTTTTTTTTTCTCATTATGCACTGCGTGCTCCAGGATTTTTTTTATATGGTGCACACTGACCACACAGACCCATTCTCTCACATGTGGGCCTACCAGCTTTCTCCTGCTTGATTTGAAGCCGCTAGAATTTATGAGTATATATACGTCAAACACGGCACCTCGTAAAACGTATATATACGGCCGCGACAGTCAAAGGGTTAATAAAATGTACTAAATATCTACTCATGTGTCTTTAACCACAATTAAATTCCTTTTTCTATTCATTTTTTTTTGTATTTTTATTAACACATCGGCCGTCTCCCACCAAGACAGGGTGGCCTGAAAAAGAAAAACTTTCACCATCATTCACTTCATCAGTGTCTTGCCAGAGGTGCACTTACACTACAATTATAAAACTGCAACATTAACACTCCTCCTTCAGAGTGTAGGTACTGTACTTCCCATCTGCAGGACTCAAGTCCAGCCTGCCAGTTCCCCTGATTTTTTTTTTTTTTTATTGTCACACTGGCCGATTCCCACCAAGGCAGGGTGGCCCGAAAAAGAAAAACTTTCACCATCATTCACTCCATCACTGTCTTGCCAGAAGGGTGCTTTACACTACAGTTTTTAAACTGCAACATTAACACCCCTCCTTCAGAGTGCAGGCACTGTACTTCCCATCTCCAGGACTCAAGTCCGGCCTGCCGGTTTCCCTGAACCCCTTCATAAATGTTACTTTGCTCACACTCCAACAGCACGTCAAGTATTAAAAACCATTCGTCTCCATTCACTCCTATCAAACACGCTCACGCATGCCTGCTGGAAGTCCAAGCCCCTCGCACACAAAACCCCCTTTTTACCCCCTCCCTCCAACCTTTCCTAGGCGACCCCTACACCGCCTTCCTTCCACTACAGACTGATACACTCTTGAAGTCATTCTGTTTCGCTCCATTCTCTCTACATGTCCGAACCACCTCAACAACCCTTCCTCAGCCCTCTGGACAACAGTTTTGGTAATCCCGCACCTCCTCCTAACTTCCAAACTACGAATTCTCTGCATTATATTCACACCACACATTGCCCTCAGACATGACATCTCCACTGCCTCCAGCCTTCTCCTCGCTGCAACATTCATCACCCATGCTTCACACCCATATAAGAGTGTTGGTAAAACTATACTCTCATACATTCCCCTCTTTGCCTCCAAGGACAAAGTTCTTTGTCTCCACAGACTCCTAAGTGCACCACTCACCCTTTTCCCCTCATCAATTCTATGATTCACCTCATCCTTCATAGACCCATCCACTGACACGTCCACTCCCAAATATCTGAATACATTCACCTCCACCATACTCTCCCTCCAATCTGATATCCAATCTTTCATCACCTAATATTTTTGTTATCCTCATAACCTTACTCTTTCCTGTATTCACTTTTAATTTTCTTCTTTTGCACACCCTACCAAATTCATCCACCAATCTCTGCAACTTCTCTTCAGAATCTCCCAAGAGCACAGTGTCATCAGCAAAGAGCAACTGTGACAACTCCCACTTTATGTGTGATTCTTTATCTTTTAACTCCATGCCTCTTGTCAAGACCCTCTTCACAAATGTTATCTTGCTCACACTCTAACAAAGTTCTTTGTCCCCACAGACTCCTAAGTGCACCACTCACCTTTTCTTCCTCATCAATTCTATGATTCACCTCATCTTTCATAGACCCATCTGCTGACATGTCCACTCCTAAATATCTGAATACATTCACCTCCTCCATACTCTCTCCCTACAATCTGATATCCAATCTTTTGTTATCTAATTTTTTTGTTATCCTCAACACCTTACTCTTTCCTATACGCCTCTCCTCACATAATGACGAAGTTCTGTTCCTGAGACCATGTCGTTAAACGAATTCTTCGCTAAGTGAGAAGCATATGTACTATAATGGTAGCGAGTTTGTGTCAACCATCTTTGATAGATTTAATGTCACCTTTGCACCATTTAGTATAACATTTCTGGTATATTTTTAAATGTTTATACAGCAGTGTACTGTACGTATATTGAAATAAACAGAATAGAGGAAATCTGCTCTAATATACATTATTTAGGTATGAATACTGGTCAGAGAGCCCGTCGTAAGTCCGAGGCGTCGGTAAACGAGCACGTTGCTATGTGAGAAGAGGCTGTATTCACTTTTAATTTTCTTCTTTTACATACCCTACCAAACTCATCTACCAACCTCTGCAACTTCTCTTCAGAATCTCTCAAAAGCACAGTGTCATCAGCAAAGAGCAACTGTGACAACTCCTACTTTGTGTTAGATTCTTTATTTTTGAACCCCACACCTCTTGCCCACACCCACGCAATCACTTCTCTTACATTCCCATCTATAAATATATTGAATTACCACGGAGACATCACACATCCTTGTCTAAGGCCTACTTTTACTGGGAAATAATCTCTCTCTCTCCTACATACTCTAACCTGAGCCTCACTATCTTCATAAAAACTCTTCACTGCTTTCAGTAACGTACCTCCTATTCCATACATTTGCAACAACAGCCACACTGCCCCCCTATCCACCCTGATTATCCTCAACAAAGTAATGATTAGATCTACTAAAAATATCTGTGTAACACTTAAAATATTTCAGAGGTTTGATCAAAAAGATACTTTTGAGCTTAGAACAAAAGAAAAGAATACATGAAATACTTACCAAGTTTTCTTTATTGAATTAATGTTCATGTACAAAAGAAAGTGATCTCCATCTTGTCTGGAATGACTTCACTGTTTTTATATGACTATTACTGGTGGTAAGTAATTCCAAGCAGTTACAATCTGTTGAGATAAAGTTCTCCTAATTTATGTGCAAGTAAATTTCTTATCAGTCTGAACTGATATAAAATTACATGTCATAATCTCCAGCTGCCAGTGCTAGACAACTGTGAAGCTGCCCAACCAGTAGGAACAATTCTTTTTGCACCAAGTTCGACAAACTACTTTGCAATTAGTTTACACTATATTGCTTGTAAGGGAAATGGGGAGATGTTAAAAAAAAGTTGTACACAACTTATTTTAGATCAAAATCAATTGGTAATAGTGTAATTATGGCAGAACCTAAAAATATATTGGAAGCCTAGAACAAAAACCCAAAGAAGAGCAACAAAATGACTGGGCTAAATTAGGAGTTACAATAAAAAGCTGAAAATGCATAAAAAGAAGACGTAATAACCAAATAAAAATAAAGGATATATTATGTATAAACTATCAGCAGGAAAAACAAAAGGATGCTGCAGTTGTAAATTAAAGTGTCAAAAGAACATTAGAAATTTAGAATATTGGACTATTAGATTAGGTTAAAAGGAATTAAAAAAAAAGTATTATAACCATCGGAAATTTAAAAAATTATATGTTACAACTACAAGTACCGAAGATAATATCCCATAAGCTCAAGGATCCCGATGGAATAAGTCACTTTATCTGACTTTTCTTTTTTAGGTAATCCTAGGTAATTTACACCATATACAGTGGACCCCCGCATAACGATGGCATCACATAGCGATTTTTCCGCATACCGATTACTTTTATCGCAAAATTTTTGCCGCGCATACCGATTAAAAACCCGCTTACCCGATTTTCGTCCGAGACGCGTCCAATGTGCCCTCACATGTGCCGGCCGTCCCATTGTTTACCAGCCAGCCTCCGCGGTAACATCCAAGCATACACTCGGAATATTTCGTATTATTACAGTGTTTTCGGTGCTGTTTCTGGAAAATAAGTGACCATGGGCCCCAAGAAAGCTTCTAGTGCCAACCCTGTGGTAAAAAGGGTGAGAATTAGTATGGAAATTAAGAAAGATTTTGAAGGGTTTGGGGCTAACCCTGAGAAGCCTATGCCAGTTGTGGAATCCATTGTGCCTACTTCAAAGATTAAGGAAATGTGTGCACAGTGGGTTGAACTGCAAACCTTTATAGATGAAAATCACCCTGACACAGCTGTTGCAAGCCGTGCTGGTGACTATTTCAATGACATGTTATGGCCCATTTTAGGAAAGTCTTGAAGGAACGGGAGGTACAGAGCTCTATGGACCAGATATTGTTGTGCGACAGAGGTCCAGTGACTCTCAAGCTGGTCCTAGTGGCATTAAAAGAAGAAGGGAAGTAACCCCAGAAAAGAACTTGCTACCTCAAGTCCTAATGGAAGGGGATTCCCCTTCTAAAACAGTAAGAAGATAATGCTCTCCCCTCCTCCCATCCCATCAATCATCACCAGATCTTCAATAAAAGTAAGTGTCATGTAATTGTGCATGCCTTTTTTCAGTTTGTGTGTATTAAAATTAACATTTCATGTGGTAAAAAAAAATTTTTTTCATACTTTTGGGCGTCTTGCACGGATTAATTTTATTTCCATTATTTCTTATGGGGAAAATTCATTCGCATAACGATTATTTCGCAAAAAACGATGACCCTCTTGCACGGATTAAAATCGTTAACCGGGGCCCACTGTATATGATAATAATTGTACTCGTTATACCTATGCCTAAATAAACTTGCTTACAAAGATGGACTACTCCTGTGTTATTATTAGTTCCTGGAGAACACAAAAGCTTTAACGGGTCCACACAGTCCCGGGGGAACAGGAGGTAATTATTTTGATCTGGGAAAGAAAAAGGTTTAGCCCCAATTGTCACAAAAAAAGCCCTTTGTTAGCATAAAAGCATCCCCTTTGTATTTTAAAAAATAATTATAGGCATCAGGATTTTTCCCCTCCCCAAATTTTGTTTACTGTAATTGTTTTTTTTAGGGGGGGGAACTCTTGGATTATTGGCTCTTTTCCGAAACCCCTAAAAATGTCAATGATTGTAAAAACTAAATATTTTCTTCAGTTTGCTTTTAAATATAGTTTTATTTTGGGTTATTTACAATAAAAAAGTTTTACAATACATTTAATATTTTGTACTATGTACTTTATTCAGACAAATAATTTTAAATAGCCCTTTTTCATATAAAAAAAGTGTAGCATGATAATTAACCAAGGACAGCCAACATTTAAAAAAAAAAATTTAAAATTCCATGGAGTTCCCTTTTGTCTATCATTAAATTGTTATTAATAATGTATTATTTCCTTAAAAACTAAACCAATCGGGGCCATTCACTGAATGGAAAGTCGGCACATTTAAATTTCGTACAACATAATTACATTTTAAGGGGAAAAATGAAAAAATCCGGGGGAGTCTTAATGCCGGGGGAATGAGGGTATTAAAGGCTGATCCACAAAAGGGGGAGAAAAAACCAGTTCCTTGTATCAAAACCCCTTACCACAAAAGGGTGAGGAAAGTAATATATAGTAAGGTGGGGATCATTTAATTTAAAATTGAAAAACAAATATATTGTGATTTTTTTTGCCCGTGACCTATTTTAAATTTCCTACTCCCGCGGGCCCCGCCTCAGCCAGCCTCCCATTGATTGTTTGGTTGACCCAAACTTTGCTGTTGGCGCCCACCAACCCCAATCCATCATGTTGATCTGGATGCCACTGAGGATAGACCCAAATTTTCCCCTTGAAAAATTCTACATCGTTTTTAAAGCGGGTAATTTTAAACTGGACACAGGAATAATCCTGGGTTTACCTGGAGAGGGTTTTTGGGGCAACGTCCCCCCCGGCCCTCTGAACCAGGTCGCGAAAAATTTCCCTTTAAAAATTTTTTTTGGATATACAAAAACAAGCCCAATTTTTTTTTTTTTTTTTAAATTTATTAAGTTCAATTTTTTCAAAAGTTATGGCTACTACTTTCAAACTAGGGACAGTGAACCTCAAAAATCGAACTATCACATATGACGTTTCGAAAATAGGAACCCCTTTTTCGGGCAAAATGTGTCCCTATTATTGAACAGCCCCTATTTTTAGCCGCCGGGGACGGGGACCTGTCGCCGGCCCCCTCTGTCCCCGGGCCCCCCTGCAGGCGCCGGAGCAGTCTAGCTTTGTTATCTTGAGTGAACACTAACCTGCGCTCTCATTCATGCATTTTACGATTAGTTTGTTGTGTTTAGTGCTTGTGAGACTGTGAAATAAGCTGCCATGGGCCCAAAGAAACTTGCTAGTGGTACCCCTGTGGTAAAGAAAGTGAGAAACACCATAGATGTGAAGAAAGAAAATAATACAGAAGTATGAGAGTGGTGTGAGACTTGTTGAGCTTGCCAGGATGTATGGGAAAAACAAGTCGACCATCGGTTCTATCCTGTCAAAAAAAAAAAAAAAAAATCAAGGAAGCTGATGTTGCGAAAGGTGTTAATATAGGGAATGGATGAGCTGCCGTCTTCAAAGATTAAGGAGATTTGTGCCATGTGGAATGATGTCCAAATGTTTGTACAGAAGTACCACCCTGAGCAAGCTGAAACAAGCCATCTTTGCAACAGGTTCAGTGGCAGAACCATGTCCCATTTTAGGGAAATGTTAAAGAGGCGCCAGAAACAGAGGACTGTGGACAGTTATTTTGTGAGACGGGGGTCCAGTGACTCTCAAGCTGGTCCTAGTGGCATTAAAAGACAGATAAGTAATCCCAGAGAAGGCTTTACCTGAAGTCCTCATGGAGGGGGATTCTCCTTCCAAATACTAACCCCAACTCCCTCTCTCCTCCTCCCTATCTTCCAGATGCCATCACCAATCTTCAATAAAGGTAAGTTAAAATTTTATTTTATATGTACAGTATTACTATACATAATTAAAAACTATAGTATTTGTTGTATGTAAAACTGTAATTAATCTCTATAAAATGTATTTTTTGTGTGATTTTTTTGAGTTTCTGGAACGGATTAATGTATTTCCAATTATTTCGTATGGGAATTATTGCTGTCGAATTTCTCAAGACTTTTCGAATTTAGAATTAGCTCCTGGATCGGATTACGGTTCGATTTTTGAGGTTCCACTGTACAGGTAATTAGTTTATATTTTACAATACATACACCTGTGTACAAAACCGATAAGTATTTCCCATTTAAATTTTTATTTTTGGAATATTATACAAAAATAAATATTTTATTGTGGATTGCACAGCAAATCCTCATAACAATAATAATAATCTTTATTTCCTACAATTACATTATACTACAAACTATACAGACCTAAGCCGTCATTCAATGACATAACATACATACTACATTGAAAACCCCTGGCTCTATACAGAGAATTTCGAGCAATACAGGGTTATAATTTTGTCCCGGGGCATGCGACCCACACCTGTCAGCTAAACACCCAGGTGTCTACTCTACTTAACCATACCACGGGCGGGATTTGAACCAGCACGGGCAGGAAGGATCTTAAGGAAAAACTTGCCAGTGTTTAACCACTAGTACCAGGGATCGTACCCATAGACATCAACGTTTCTGTGTGCGGTAGTGCAGGATACCGAGCTATGGGACACCTTAAAGCCAAATCAATGCTGTGTATTGGTTCGTGTCAAATTTTGGCCAAACTGTGTAATAAAGTATGCCCTTAGACTAATGGTGGTTAGGTTAAGTTAGTTTAAGATAAGATTTAGGTTATGTAATTCATTTCTTGTTTGATAAGGTGGGTTTTAGTAGGTTTAAGTTTTTTACCATTTGCACAACAAAATAATACCTATATCAACTGCAAAAGCAACTTAATATTCTAAAATTCAAACTATAATTAATGGAAGGAATCGGCTAAGTAGAGGTTGTAACTAAATTACAAAACTTTTAGGTACACTGGCAACCAACTGACTTTTTTACTAATAGTCAATCGCAATTTTTAATTTTTAACAAATAATCTAACTCGTATGTATCTTGCCTAATTTTTTTAAACTTTCTGTTAATACATTGCACTAGACCAATTTAAAATTAAACTATGTAGTCTTAAATAGTAATCTAAATTTACTTAAAAATGCTATGCATCCTGTAGACTTTGTAATTATTGTATATTTTGCACAATTAATATGAAACAAAAAAATTTAATTTAATTTGGCAAGTTAGACCATATTTTTGACCCTTTTATATATACTGAGTTTGTAAATACATATAAGCAAGCTTATTCAGGTAAAATCACACAATTCTGGGACATTTACAATGATCTTAGACAATAATGTACGTGTAAATTACCTAGGATAAGAATAATTCCCCCAAGAAATGCCAATGCGATTTATTTCCTTTCAGGTTAGTAAGTTTATTTAGGCACAAGTAAACATAAGTACAATTATCATAGTGTAAATTACCCAGGATAACCCAAAAAAAGTGTAAATTACCCAGGATAACCCTAAAAAAGTGTAAATTACCCAGGATAACCCTAAAAAAGTGTAAATTACCCAGGATAACCCTAAAAAAGTGTAAATTACCCAGGATAACCCTAAAAAAGTGTAAATTACCCAGGATAACCCTAAAAAAGTGTAAATTACCCAGGATAACCCTAAAAAAGTCAGACTGATTTATTTCCATTAGGGTCCTCGAGTTTTAACTGAGGTCGAGATGAACTCGAGGAATATCGATGAATTTGCTTCTAGTGTGATGGTTGTGTCTTATATTAATGTTCCTGTAGGTGTTTTAGATCAATATTAACATTAGTGTTTTGTAGACCCCAATGGAAATAAACGAAAAAAATTCGAAATTTTTTTTGAGGGGGTTATACTAGGTGATTTACAATGTTTCTATGTAAAAGCCACTGTAATAATCATTTTTTGTAAACTGTAAATAAATAAGCTTACTTAAAACCAGTATATATGGCATTAATATTTAGTAACTTTACGGATTTGAATAACCTAACCTCTATCGACTTATATTTAACCCTCTCCTGTTCTCCAGATTACTTAAAAGAGCTTAAATAAGTTATAATTATGTGAAAATGTTGACAGCAGCCATCGCTTCTACCTTATTTTGATGTATAGTAATGTGGAATAATATGTTAAGGCAACAGTATAAATCACTAACTGTTGTACAACACAACTTATGTGTGGTCACTTAGGTGCCAAGTTCAACATTCAAGTTTTCTCTGATATAATTTGCTCGCTTATGTGGCAGAGTTATTATTAACGTTTTCTATGTTGCAAGTTAGTGCAGTTGAAGCTAGTTTTAATAATATTTCTACAAGTTCATGTACAAGGTATATATTATTATTATTATTATTATTATAATCAAGGGGAAGCGCTAAACCCGGAGGATTATACAGCGCCTGGGGGGGATGTGGAAGGCATTCAGGCTTAATTCGGGGAATTGGAGCACAGATCCAATTCCCTAAATCAAGAGCCCCTCACCAACATCAAGGAACCTTCCTTGAGGGGACAAGGTATATAGACCATAGCTGACATCAATTATATACTACTATATAGAAAGCCTCTTTTTACGCTGAGTATTTTGGGCAAATTAGGTCAGTTTTGTCCCAGGATGCGACCCACACCAGTCGACTAACACCCAGGTATCTAATTTACTGATGGGTGAACATAGACATCAGGTGTCTTATGGAAATACATCCCTAATGTTTCCCAGCTGTACCAGAGATTCGAACTCCGGACCTGAGTGTGTGAGCTGAGTGCGCTAGCTATCAAGCTGCGGTACAGGTACAAATACCACAGATACACATATGTACAGTTAAGGAAATAACTCATTTTGTTTGATTTTCTGGAGGGGTTACCCTAAGTAATTTACACTATGTAAGGACTCCAATGGAAATAAGTCACTTTGTCCATCGCCGGATTTATAAGGGGGCAACTGTCTCAGGTCCCCCTGCCAGAGGGACCCCCAGACGAAGGACTTCCTTTATAGCAAAATGTAATAATAAAAAATAAGTTTAATTAATAAAAGGAATTAACAAATAAAGTGTGTGGTGGGGCAACCGAAGATAGAAAGAAAGGGTGCCCCCACCCCCTCTCCCTTTGAATAACTTGTCTTGACTTAACTCTTTCTGGTTAGCATCAGTTTAGAGGTAAATGACCAGACCATTCGGTCAGAGGTGACCAGAATGCACACGCGTATGTGTGTGTGTGTGTGTTTCTGTGTCTCTGTGCGAGGTAGATATTATGTGTATGGCTTTGATTGGCTATGTCGACCTCAGAAGGGCTATTTCTGGTTAGTATCAGTGCAGAGGTTAATGACAACAAGTCAGTTAGTGGCCTAGGGCTCTATATGTGTCTGTGTGTGTGTTTGTTGACTGCTTCTGTGCTAGGCAATGGGGGGGGCAATGGTGTCCATGTTTTAGATCTGTGTGTTGCTCACATAGGTTTGCGATATATCATTGCTTTGCAATTACATCTTACGCATACCACATGGTGGGACTTCACTCTCATGTCTACAGAATTTCTTTCGTTTGATTCTTTGGAAATTTTCTTTTTTTGAGCTCCTGACGACTGAATTTTCTGTGGCATACTGGGTCTTCCGAAAAAAAAAACAAATATTCAGATTTTTTGACATTTAATGGCAATGTAATTAATGACACAACACACACACATACGATGAGTTATGACAAAGCTCAGGAAGCAGAGAGAGAGAGAGAACTTAGTAGCAATCAGTGAAGAGGTGGGGCCAGGAGCTGAGTCTCGACCCCTGCAACCACAATTAGGTGAGTACAATTAGGTGAATGCACACACACACACACAACACACACACACACACACACACACACACACACACACACACACAAAAACACACACACACAAAACACACACACACACACACACACACACACAACACACACACACACACACACACACACACACACACACACACACACACACAAAAATTAGAATAGAAATAGCATAGACATAGTGAATTGTTTTGCGGTGTGAGAGGTAGGTGGGAAAAGCTTTTAAGGGAAAAACATTGAAAGCGGTGCTAGGGTCAAGTCCCAGGAGGGTTGTGTCGGGTCACAAAAAAGTTGCGGTAGTATTCCCCGAAAAGACATTCACACCCATACTCACAAAATACCATGCCCACGTACACGGCGTGTTACTACGGTGTTTTTACAGTAAAAATACTTGGGAAAGCTGGGAAAAGTCCTCTCTCAATGTGAACAAGGAAAATGATAATAACCAGCAACAATTAATATGTAAATCCAAAAAAAGGGCAATAAAGGAGGAGTGCAAATTGGGGGAAAGTAAAGAGACTAAATTTGGCTACACGATGGATCTTTCAACCACACCCCCCCCCCCCCCCCCCCTAACCCTCCCCCCCTCACCAAAAAAGCACACACACCAAGGGAGAAAATACACCACACCACCAACACACACACAACCACACACACATATGGAGTATGCAGCACAGTTTGGAATCAAAACCTGTCAAACACGTCAAAAAATTGAGAAAGTGCAAAGGTTTGCAACAAGACTAGTCCCCGAGCTAGGGGGGTTGCCTACGAAAAAAAGGTTTAGGAATCGGCCTGACGCACTGGAGGCCGGAGGGCAGGGGAGACATGTAAGACAATAAAAAACTGCGCGGGAAAAGAAAAGGTGGACAAAGACAGGTGTTCCAGAATGGGACACAGACACAGAGGTCACAATTTTTAAATTGAAGACTCGATGAATCGAAGGGTGTTAGGAAGTTTTTTTTCAGTCATAGATAGTCAAGTATGGGAAAAGCTAGAAAAATGAATAGTGGAGGCGGGAACCAAATGTTTTAAGGCGAGGTTGTAAAGTCATGTAGCGGGGAGGAGGCCTAGTAGCAATCAGTGAAGAGGGGGGGCCCGGAGCTATGACTCGACCCCTGAAACCCAAAAATAGGTGTAGGTGGAACACACACACACCACCCCAAAACCACCCACACACACACACCAAAAAGGCCCCGGGAAAGGGGGAAAGAGGGGGGATGGAGAAGAAAGACAGGAGATCCCGCCCCAGGAAGATCAAATACAGCCTCCCTCCAATTCAAAAAAGACCCTCCCAACCGGTAAACCCCCAGTTGCAACCAAACCTCTAATCAAAACACCCATGCCACATCAATGCCCCACCCACACATTACAAACTCCCCCCCCAAAGCAAAAAACCCATTTTCCCTTTACCAGGTCCCCACCCCCCAAACCCCAATATCCCTCCCAGCCCACAGTCTTAGAAAGAAGTTGAAGGTTTGTGGTATCAAATGCGAGGAAAAACCAACAAGTATGAGGAGGGGCCACGAAAGAATCAAAGAGACATCCCCCCGACATAACCTGGGTTTACCTGGAGGATTTCCCGGGGGTCCCAAAGCCCCGCGGCCCCGGGCGGACCAGGCCCCCTGGTGGATCAGAGCCCGATCAAACCCGGCTGTTGCGTGGCTCACGCAAACCAACATACGAGCCCAGCCCGGTGATCCGGAACGATTTAGGTGCTTGCCAGTGCCAGCTTGAGACTGCCAGGGGTTGTTGGTAATCCCCCTTATGTGTGCTGGGAGGCAGTTGAACGTCTCGGGCCCCGACACTTTTTGTATGGGCTCTTAAAGTGCTAGTGACACCCCTGTTTTATTGGGGGGGGGCATCGTCTGCCAGTTTTTGCTTTGTTAGTGGGTGATTTTCGTGTGCGTTCGGTACTAGCCCCCTAGGATTTTTAGGTGTATAAATCATGATCCTCCCCCCTGCTTCCCGGGAAAACAGGTTTGGAACCCCAAGCGCTCCCCAATTTAATTGAGGGTTTTATCTCCGTTTTTCGCGCCGTGAAAGTTTCTGTACATTTTCTAGGCGGCAATTTACTGCCTTGAAAGGTGGTTAGTGTGCAGCAATATCCACCCTGTTAGAACAAGGGACCTAAAGAGTGTCATATGGGTTTGGCCCTCCCTAGTTTTGAAGGTTCTATTACCATCCTGTCTTTTTTCTAGCAGATGCGATTTTACAATGTTATGGCCCTTAAAGGGTGAGATCCCCCGACTGATCACTCCAGGTCTTTGACGTTGGTTTTTTCGCTCTATTTTGTCCCCGAATTTTTTTTGACTTGTGAAGATTTAATTTCCTTGTTTACCATATCTGAGTAATTAAAATTTCTCTCTTTAACTTATATTGTTTTCTGCCCCCACTAAAAATTTTGGTTGATTCTGCTGGAGCTTTGCAGTTTCTGCAAGGAAGACACTGTCATGCGATTCGGGTGTCATCTGCAAAAAGGGAAGACACGGTGTGTGGCTGACATCCTTGTCTATGTCGGATATAAAGGGTGGGAACAAGTGGGAGCGAGTACTGTTTCCTTGTGGAACAGAGCTTTTCACCGTAGTGCCTCGGGCTTTATCTGTTTCGCCCCCCCCCCAACCAAAAAAATCCAGAAAAATAACAGATTCAATCTTTCCATCCCCGGTTTTAAATCCTCAGGAAAGACGAGGGGGGGGGGGGGAGGAGGAGTTCACTGCTCATTAAAAAACGTGGGGTTTTTGGGGGAAAAGGAAGGATGGATGGCACGGGCGAAAAGGGTACTTGTAGGTAAAAATCCAGTCTGAGGGACATAAGGTGATAATTGAGTAATGTACATCCACCCCAGAACTGCGGGAGGCCAAGAGAAGAATCGATAGAGCAACAAGCAAAGTCGACACACTGCCCAGGTGGCCAGGGGCACACTGGGGGGAGCAAAGTTTAGTTTGGGTGATTTCAAACACAAGGAGATGACTGGAAAACCTGGAGCCCCATGGGGGGGGCCCGAAAAAAAGGAGCCCAAAATGAGGATGTGGTACTGGAAAACCCCATGCATCAAAATGTTAGAGACACTACCAGAGGGAGGAGGGATGAACCGCAAGGTGGGGCCTTGTATTCACCGAGTAGTTCGGACACGAGGGAACATGTATGAAAGGCCCTGGGGGCTAGTGTCATGTGGTTCTGTACTTGGGACTACTGGTTGAGCCCCAAAGTGGGAGAGAGTAGCAGGAAAGGCGGGGGAAAACCAAATAAAAAAGGGGGGGGAAAACTACTCAGGCAGGGAGGAATTTCCTTAAAGGGCTTTCCCGGTGGGGGGGGGAAAACTGAGGGGGGAAAACCGTAAAAAGAATGAGGGAAATATGTAGAAACCAAAATGCAAGGAGGCAGAGGAGAGGTTT